AAACCCATAGAATTTCCTGAGTTATAGTAATCTCTTTTGTTATTCATAATGATTCCCATCAAATCTAGATAAGGTGACTGAATTGGAGACACTATAACCTTAGAATAAAGATGGTCACTTGAGTGACTGAGCAATTACAGGATTATAATTGCTACTTTAATTTTATCCAGTAGCTTGAAGCCAGGGATCTGGAAATTGAGTGCTGTAACAACTCTTTGACTTCCCATTTGGGGAACACATCAATATAGAAGAGACTGGTGTGCTACAGAGAGAGTAGAAGCTCCATGCTATCTTTCCCTGTGTGCTTTGCTTTATTCATCTCTACCACTCAGTTGCTTCTAATAAACTGGTAAGTACAGGTATTCTCTTGAACTATTTGAGCCATTCTAGCAAAATTTTGCATGTCATCCTTGCACAGGGGCCATGCTAATCTTCTCTGTATCATTCCAATTTTAGTATATGTGCTGCCAAAGTGAGCACTGTAGCAAATTTTTGAACAATGAAAGCATCATAAGAACTGTACCTTGCAGGTTTATAGCCAATTGATCAGATATATGTGTTGCTAGGCACTTCAGATTTGTATCTGAAGTAGGGATAGTACTTTGAGACCTCAGCCATTTAACTTGTGAGATCTGACACTGGAAAGATAGTGTCAGAATTATATTGAATTGTTGAATACTAAGTTTGGCCAGAGAGTGCAGAATTGATTGATGTTGGGAAAGTGTCTTAGTTACTGTTTACTCATTGCTGGGACAAATACCTAACACGCAAAATGAAGGAAGGAAAGGTTTATTTAGCTCATAGTTTGTGGAGGTTTCAGTTCATACTCTGCTGGCTCCAACACAAACAACAGCAGTTCATTTTGGCAGAAAACAATGAAGAGCAGAGGAGGAGCAGCAGCTGCGGCATCCATCAAGCCTCTCTCTTCCTTCTATGCTGACTACGAAGACCGGCACTCCACCGTGAAGAACGTAGCTCCTCCAAAGAGTGGGACTTCTCCAAGGAAGCGGGGCAGGGCGGCCAGGAAGCCTTCCTTAACACCTTTATATACACTTTCCATGCTGAGTCACTCTGGGGTGGCCCATGCCCCTAGGATGGAACCAGTCATACCCCAGGTTGGGCCTTGCACCCCAGGTTGGGCCTTGTACACCTGCAGGGATGGGGAGGTCCCCAATGCTGGGAACTGCCTGAGCCGATTCAGCCAAATTGACACAATGTATCAACTACCACACAAATTTGGGATTGGAAAAATCCCTCAGAGGTACATCTTAGAGTACCCAGCACATATTAAATACTCAACAAATATTTTTTAAATGCATGAATGAATAATTTTATTTTAACCTTCAATCTCATTTTAATAAAATCATTTATGAGTTATATTGTGAATTGGAATAAATAGATATGCAACTTCATTATTGGTAAACCCCATATTTCATTAATTTAGAATGCTTAGTATTTACTTCCAAATGTTGCCTTTGTATTTAAGATTAAACGAGTGATAAAGGTGCCTCTGAGAGGCAGGAAGCATATCATCCACAAGGTTGGGACTGCTAAAGATTGTCTCAGAGTCTGCTGGAGCTACCCTTCCTGCTGTGGCTGCTGCTGCTGTTGCTGCTACCCATTGGGCTGCAGCTGCCTGCACTGCCTCAAAGAAAGAAATTCAGGCAATAGTTCAGATAGAATGGAAAATTCCAATTTTTCTACAGATCTTGAACATATAGGCAGTTCTGAGAGCAGTGGCTTATCCCACCTGTCTATTTCACCTGCTCCTTAACCCAGCTCAGCCAGACTTCTCAAGACTCCAGCCTTGTTAGAATTTTACAGTGCTTCAGCACTGAGTAGCCTTCATATACTACCAGAAAAGTGACCCATAGTTAACAGCATCCCAGCCCAGTGACTGGAAAAGTACCCCTATTGGCAGATTCATTCGTCTGGCTCAGAAACTGAGCAAGTAGTCAGTTTCACAGAGAAACAACAACAAAAATACAGTTAGTCATGATGAATCATCACCACCTCACACATCAACTGGAATACACCTTATTCTAAGTCTGACATACATATCTCTGGCCCCAGTGTGTCTCAAGAGGAGAGCACTGCAAAAGATATATCTTTGAAAGATTTGGGCAGAAACCTCTCTCATCATCCAAAGTGCAGTAGCTTCCAGGAAAGCCACAATTTCAATATGAAGTGTCCTGTGCTGGGCCATAATTCTCTAGGACACCTTTCTGGGAATCATGAGAGACATTTCTCCATTTTAGGGTACCTGGTTTATCATAACCACTCTGCTAACTAATTACAGGATGAGAGCACAGAACCAGGATAAGCAGATAGAAGAAAGGATTCTGTACCATAGGCAAGATGACAACAACAGACATGCAGCCAGAAATCAGGAGCCAATCTAGAGGCAGCTGTGATTTAAAGAAAAGATGACTGAACTTAGGAAGAAAAGAAATTCTGGACTGAGCAAAGAATAGAAAGAAATATATGGAGCACAGTCAGGCCTATGAGAATGCTTAGGAATCTCTCTTAGAAAACCTGACCAGTAATTTGATTTGGCTCTCCTGCAGAGCACAAGCCCTGGCTTCAAAAGAATGGAGAAGTTAAGGCTGCAAGACCAAATCACAGAGGAGAGCAACATGATTAAAACAATCATCTATGGTCACTATGAAGGTCATTCTTGGTGCCATTCTCCCTATCCTGAGGAGTGTGTGTGGTTGGGACACCTCTGCATGTGTGAATTCTGTTGAAAATACATGAAGCAAATGAGCTGCAAATGGCCAAATGTGTGTGGAACCACCCACCTGGAATCAAGATATATCACAAAGGCTCATGCTTGGTGTTTGAAGAAGATGACAAGAAAAATAACATCTATTGCCCAAACCTGTGCTTATTAGCCACATTTTTCTGGACCAGAAGATAGATATGTTATGATGTGGAACCCTTCCTGTTTTCAGGAACCCTTCCTGAAAATATGGGATATTTTTGTTCCTCATCTATAACATATCCTGTATCTGTACCATGCCTCAGTTACATAAGACATGGGTTTCGCAAGACGCTCAGTGATTACATTTATTTACTTTGAAAAGTAGAAGAAAAAGTCGGCTCCCTAGAACCTCTTCTTTCAGATTTGGAGCTCATGAACTATTGTACACACTGAAATTATCCAGGAGAAAGCTGTGAACCCCATGAACATTGTCAGTACTCTGCCAGCCCCTCAGATGCTCAAGTATTGGAAAGAAAAACATCTAGTTTTAAAGAGATAGGACCTGATTGATGAGTAGGTAGTCAAAATAGCCTAAGGGTCTAACTCCAGTAAAACCTGGATCCAACCTGTTTAAAATGGACTCCTCCCAAGGGAACTTAAAATGATCCATCATTCTGAGCCAGTGAACCCCAGCAGTAGGAATATGGCCCCTAGGGATGTATCTATCATTTCTTTAAAAAATTTTGTAAAAAAATCTTTGATTCATTTATTTATGTGGTACAGGGTCTTGACATGCAGCTTAGACTCGTAGTGATCTTACTGTCTTAACTTTCCCAGGGATAGGATTACAGGTGTGCACCACATGCCCAGTTTTGGTTGGCCAGCACGTGTGCCTGGGGTTCCAGAGCTCGCACAGCATGTGGTACCGAAGATTGAATCCAGGTCCTTACACTTGCCAGGCAGGTGCTTAGAGCACTGAGCTATCTCTTCAGCCCCATGTCTATTATTTCTTTTTTTTTTTTTTTTAAATGTTTTTTAAAGAAAGTACAAATAGTATTAAAACAGAAAAATTACAAGTGATACAGAATTTCACTTAACAAAATAATATGAATTTCACAGTATTTGTTGAAATTCATAGTGTTGTTTTCCAACTAGTTGTTCATATTACCAGATATACGCATGCAAAATTGGAAGAGGAAAGAAAAGAAATATATAAGAAATTAAGAAGAGGAAAAGGATGCACAATTGAAGAAAGGAGACAAAACAAATTGAGCATTAACTGCTTCTTTCCACAGACCAGCAGAAATCCACAGTACAGTTGTCCAAACCATCCTGCTTACATACATAGATATATCGCTTTCTGCCACTCCCTCTCCTGTTTGTCTCGACTCACTAATTCCTTCCTTTTAAATAGGTTCATTCCCTTTTCCTGGTATCTATTGGCACCCTTTAGATTTTATTTTCTCTGCACATGTAGGTCTGATTAATTTCACTTAAAGAATATGGTCTCTCGTATCCATTTACTGATAAAAGTCTCAAATTTATCCTTTTTTATAGCTGGTTAATACTCCATTGTGTAAAATTACTACATCTTAATCCATTCCTCAGTTGATAGGCATTTGGGTTGTTTCTAAAATTTAGCTATGACAAATTGCGCTGCTATAAATATGGGTGCACATATATTACTATGGTATGATATTTTCAGTTCTTCTAGAAAAATACCCAGGAGGGGAATGTCTGGGTTGAACAGAAGCTCCAAACCTAGCTTTTTGAAGAATCTCCACACTGATTTCCATAGTGGTTATACCAGTCTGCATTCCCACCAATAGTGCAGAAGAGTTCCTTTTTCCCCACAGTCCCTCCAGCACTGGCTAACTTCTTGATGATAGCCATTCTTTCTGGGGTAAGATGGAATCTCAGTGCTATAATAATTTGCATTTCTTGAATGATCATTGATGTTGAACATTTTTTCATTTATTTACTTGCCATTTGTACTTCTTCATCTGAAAAGTGTATATTCATCTCAGATGCCCATTTTTGTATTGAGTCTTTGAATTTTGGGGGCCTGATTGTTTTTTAATTCTTTATATGTTTCAGATAGAAGGCCTTTGTTGGAGAAACAGTGAGCTATAATTTTTTTCCTGGTTTGTTGGAGAATTGTTTTTTACTCCATTGGAGATTTCTTTTGAAGTGCAGAAACTTTTTAAAAAGATGAGATCCCAGTTGTTGATTGTTTGAAGTATTTCTGTCTGTCATTTCTGTTGCTCTCCTCATTGGCAAGCGCAGTGCCCTTTGGGAAGGCCATGTCCTTCAGCACTGTCCTGGCTGTGCCCTCATGTACACTGCAGACACTAGTTCTAAGGAACTGTTGTTTCACCTCTGTGCAGTTGCCTACATGAGACCCATATGAACCCTGGTTGTGGGTCCCTTTTAGCTCTGACCAGTTCTGTTCTGGTACTATACCTGTCTCATCCCTTTGTCCACCCTGTGTCCTTTGAGCTTTCCCCTAGGGTTTCTTGCCACCTGGTCACCAGACCTCCAAATATGGTTGTCACAACCAGGATCCGTGTATGTACTCCTTCCAGGAGTATCTGGGGAATGGCAGGAAAGGGGTGACACTTGGGACTGTGTATGCAATGAGATGGGGGGCCACTCACCTTGGATTTCACTTCACTTTACCTTTTATTCCTCCATTTTTATCTGTATGGGATTAACTAGAGCCAATAATCTGTGAAGAATTTCCCAGGGATTAATCTCACTGACAGCACATAATCCA